AAAGTATTCTGTCTGTATTATATGGGTCACGATCATTGTTCTCTTTGTGGGAACATAGGTGGGTACATCAAAAAAAACTACAAATTCAACAATAATAGGAAACGAATTGCTGACGTGTACAGTCGTTGTTGGCACACTCATATACGTTATTCTCCTGCCAGAATGAGTGGAGAAAGGGCAGCTTATGAAGACCAAAACTGCAGCTAAGAGTTTATGTTGGAGGTACTGGAGCTGTACAAGGATCTGACAGAGCCTGCATAGTATCACTCCGATGCTGGAGGACACAATTTTACACACTTTGACAAGAGATCACTTGACTTGATTTTCATATTCCAATCCGTCTCAAATCTGTCAGGTTGCCCCCAGAAATGACTGTAGTTACAGAATCCCCGGAGCCAGGTGTATTTTAACGTCTTGTCCTGTTCCTATTACATTAGTCTACAATGTTGTTTCATCAATATTACAAACACCTTAACAACGGAACACTATTTTCCTTAAAAAGCACAAAGAAAACCTTTGAAAGAAAAAAAAAACACTTAATTTAGCGTTGCTGCTTTAATGGCCAAACAGTACTGATGAATTTCAGTCTTCCATTTCCATCTGAGAGAGTGATTACAATTGATATTGAATGAACTCAATGAGGTGAAACCGTTTCTAGTTGTTGCCTGCCACTTTTGACGTGTATTAAAAGGCCCAATGATTCACTCCTGGGAATGAGCGTTCTCAGCTGCAAAATAAAGTGGTGCTAGAAAGTTTGTGAACCCTTGAGAATTTTCTGAATTTCTGCACAAATGTGACCTAGATCTTCATTTATATAGAACAATTTGAAAAACACATTAAGGTGATCTAGAAAAAATACTGCCCATAATTACTAAAGAAACAGAAAAAACAGCTCTAGTTTCACAGTAGAAGAAGCTCATATGTTTCGGATGTATACAGTCTGAATGCTTTAAACCATCAGTTGCTATGGCTTAACACAGCTGAAAAGATAAAAGGACAAACTGCATCTTGCTTGTAAAGAAACCCACTCTCAGAAAAAAAAACGATTTTTATTAAAAAAAGATTTTATTCTTTGATACTGTAATTGGGCTGTGAGGGCAGCAGCACACACAAAAAAAAAGAGACAGTCCCTGAATCAAAGTCCAAATCGAGCTGCCCGAGGACACGCTCAGTATATGCAAAGAAAGAGAAGCAGAAAACAAATGTTTAATTCACAGATCCTTTGAAAAAGTGATGACTACTTTTCTAGTGGGACTAAACTTTCTGTAAGTAACTATGCCAACCAAGGTCAGTTCCTAGACTATTTTATTTTTATTCAAACAAGTATTCCAAGTACCACTGCTTGGTGCCAATGTCACTCCTCTCAGTATTCCACATACTGTATTACAAAAACCTCCTTTATTGCTTTCTCGTTATTTCTGCAATACAAGATATCAAAGGTCCCAAAAAGATATTGACATTTTCATATCTTTGTGACTTTCTAAACACAAAGCTTTGAAATTGCATACTGTATTTAACCGGACAGCTCAAGGACAAAGTGTTCTTGGTGTGTCCCCAACTCGTTCCAAAATGTGCAGAAGACTGTTTCCTTACTGCTCCCAGATGGCATGCTATTTTTACCACTACAGGTTTCAGGAAAACCTCTTTTCTTTGTGTTACTTCAGGGATGCTGTGACAGTATCCGTGTAGATTAAATAATAAATAATCTAGTGGCAATTCTGCCTTGATAATGGGTTAGTCAGAAGCCTGACGAGCTTGTCTAACCATTTCTTGAAAGTAAATTGCAACGTGGCTGGGCAGCTAGTTTAAATAGTTCCACAGAAGTGTCTTCTGTTCGTTCAAAATGCCCTTCTATGTAACATTTTGTTATATTTTATTGTTCTTTGTAAATTTGGGTCAGTGTTATTTTTTAAACAACTATCAAGCTTGCAAGGATAATTTGTACAGCAGCTCCGTCACATCTGGAGGAATCAGTATACAGTATTATATCCACCCACCACTTGCCTCCGATGCCTGGGAGGTAGTTATAATCGTGTCAGTCACCAGAACTGGAGAAGCGTTTTTTCTCAAACCGAATGGGATCGGAAAATCTTCACCCATTCACTGGAGAAGACCATACGAAGTTAACTCTTTCACGACTGGTGTTCATGACAAAATGTGTTGAAACAGCCCCTACCTGTCACCTGCCAACCCACCCCCCAATGAGTATAACCCTCCAGACCAGTCATGTCTTGCCCCTTGACAAGACTCCATATTGGAAGGTGGCTTCATCTGCGACTCGACAAGATTGCACTCTGTAAAATGCCAATGACCATTTCACAGAAGCCTGTACAATTCTGGCACAGAGAAAGATTGAGCTTTTGTAAGGAAAAAAGGGGGCAGTCTGGTAATGTCAGTGAACTGCTGAATAAATGCTAATTTAATTCAGTCATTTAAACTGCATGAGCACACACCATAATAAACTGAGAAAACAGACAAGCTCAAAGACAGAAGTTGTAAATTATAACTAATATCATTGTGGAAAACATAATTCATCTCATTACAAAGCTTATTAAAACAGTGCTGGTTTAATCAATGATGTAAAATAGATCTTTTAGAAATATTTAATAAAATGTATACATTTGTGACATTCACTTCTTCCCGGAATTAGATTTATTTGTGTAGGAATGATATGAATTATAAATGATCACAACCTAGTAGCAGCTAATTTATGTACCAGTGCAAGGTCTGGTAAACTAATACATGCAAAGACTCACATTTATTCCAAACTGAGACGGACTATAAATATTCAAAACAGTACTTCAAAATGCCGCACACAGCACTGCTTTTTATTTAGAATCCAATAAAATGTGGTAGCGATGCACATTAAAAAATAATAACTGCATAGATTTGTCAATAAACGGAGCAAGCAAGGCAAACGCCTTTGAAGAAAGGTCCTGCAAATGACCAAAAATGTAATAAATAAATAAACAATTAAATACACACCTGGTTGTATGCAGTAAGTCTCAGTTAGCATCTGTAACTAAAGAATGTTTACTATCTAGTGCAGGTGAGGGAACTGCTGTTTAATGCAGTTGGAGCCCCTTTCTCATCTCTTTCTTCTCAGTGATAGCCTGTTACAGCTGGACAAACCATTCCCAATTCATAAAGTGACTTGCAGGTAGAGTATGTGGTCACCAGAAGCCTGTCTTCATGGCTTGCGCGCAAAGTCCAGATATCACACTGATCCCAGTGATGTTCCAGACAGGGAGCTGCTGTGGAAATCCAGCTAGAACCGCACTCACAGAGCTCATTAGGACTCATCGGGGCTAAAACAAAACACGCAAGACCTCGTCGAACGGCCGGGCTTATTAAAGTACAGGTTATGTTTCGCCTGTAAGATTATCTGCATTACACTTCCTCCAAATGAACGGACTGCCAAGAGAGTTACCGATTTGAAAGCAATTAAGAAAAAGTATACTTCCCGGTGAACAAGGGAACACTAATTCGAGCTCATCTGTATAGTAAGTCACAACAGATGCACGTTAAAGAAAATTATTTCCATCCGATTAGCCCACTTAAAAAGGTCTTGTAATGCACGCTTTCCCTTATTACTGAGGTCTGTTATTTGCGAGAGTAGCTCTGGCCTTTAGACACGCCAGTCCACAGTGTCATCCTTCACGTGTGACAGCGAGTCTTACCACAGCTGACCAAGCAGGGGGGCTGATACCGATTCTAAACAAGTGAAAGGCATGAATGCAAGCAGAAGCTCTTCTTATTGGAATGAAGAACATTAACATGGTTAGTGGACTTGAGGTCCTCTTGCATCTTTTCATTAAAGATGGAACACAAACGGTTTTCAATGCTTTTACAATTCAAATAGAGCCGACAAGTCCTTTCTATATATTGGCTGAAAAAGTTCATTTAAATGATTTTTATACAACAAGCTCTTACCTGTAAATGTGATCTGGTTTCTATTCGAACACATCAACTCTAATCTGTTTTTATGAGCCAAATGAATATTGCAAAAAAAATAACACATTTCATTACATATTGTACATTTTTAAATCTTATCCAGTAAAACTGAAAATTACCACATGGATTAATACTATAAGCCATATATATACGTTGATTCAAGCATTCTCTTTTTTCCCCCATTTGAATTCTGCCAGGCAATTTAAATTCTCCCATTAAAATTCCTTGCAAAAGAAACTGCAAAGCACCTTATGGTTAACCGAAAATGTAAAATAACGGGACACTTCTTTCTCTGAAAGACTTATATAAATGAACAGTAAATAAAAATGTTATTATTAACATTGCAGATAAAAATACCATAAAGAAAAGGTCATATGCAGACCATCAGTACTCAACGGACTTTACAGAGTGAGTGAATCTGTCTCGGTTTCCAGCCCAGACTTCAAAGTTCCCCACATATCCTCTTCCTGTCGTGGTAGTGTACTTCATACATTAATAACTCCCTACGAGTAAAGTCTTTTCTAACGCTTTAATCCAAAATTGCATTAATATATAATCCTGCAATAATAGATTTAACCAGTTTCCTGTTAAGTCTGTTCTGCTCACTTACCATAATAAGAAATAACCCCTGGGATCTAATGTACTGGCTGCTTTTACTTTTTTTGCAACAACCTGTAGGTAATTATCAACTTCTGCACTGTATTCATACAGTTTATATTTTTCTTGCCATCTGCAGAATACAGCATGTACTAACATTGAAAGCATTAATCAAATTTGACCAATTTGTTACTGACACCTGGATCAATCTCACCAATAGTCAGGGGTAAAAAAAAAAACGAAGACAAAACTATCCTTCTCATTCCTCAGATTCCAATAATCCTAGAAGATGTAGCTCCAACACAGTGAAGTAACTTAATTTAAAAACAGCTGTAACATTACAATGATGGATTGGTCACAGCCCGGTATCTCATTTTAACAGGGAAATCTCCAGTCGGTAAAGACATAAGCCATTACAGGAAGAACATATAAAACTGCAAGCTACTTACTGATGTGAAAGCAAGGATTTCCTCTTCAGTCAGCTTGTGCACAGGATTGTTCTTCTGGTAATCTGTGCTACAAACAAAGAAAATACATGTAAATCTGGGAAGAAAAGTACAGGTAAAGAAACTACACTCAAGTACAGTATCTATAGCTTACACAGGTAGGTACACGAAAAAGAAATCTGACTTCACACCTATACGTACATTTTTACATTTAGTTACTACCTTTCTATTGACTACTACATAACCTGCTTCTGCCAACAGAATCACAGAATCACAAGAGCACACGACTGCGATGCAGAAAAAGATGGTATCTAACTCCTTGTGTTTATACAATGCTTTTGATCGCAAAAGTTGCCAAAGTGCTTTGCACATGGGGAGGGGACCCACTGAAGTTCAGCTCCACCTGGGTCACACAGCAGCCCCACAGGGGGAAAGTTAAAAACTAGTTCACCGGTTGAATTAAGGGGGAAATTTAGGTAGCCTAGATTGTTCAGTTCACTTTATTGTCATATGCACAAGTGCAAATAATTGTGCAAGGCCAATGTGGAATTTTGCCACCCAGCACTTCCGACTACACAGCATCTACTGGGGTACTGGTTTGCACACCCTGGTCTGTAGAGCACAATGCCACCTACTGGTTGAACACCACACAGCAGTGTGGCCTCCTGTCTCTGGACTGAGCAGGCCAGACCATGCACAGCTTCTGCGATCATGCTACAATATCAAGCTAATTCTGGTGGAAAAAATGCGAGCTGTACTACCTATATTATTGGTCACATTTTAAATGTTTCAGTGATTCATTTAGCAGGATGGATTTTGTATTCTTTTTTTGACAATGAATCACAAAAAGGAAAATGACAAGAAGTAGTAAGCGGATGTATACGCGGGCGTTTGGGAAAACGTACGTGAACGCCGATTAACAAAGTTTTAATGGACAAGTTAAATGAACAAGCTCAATCTCTTGTATTCGAGTTTAAGGAAGTAAGACCCAGAGTGGAAAGTGCAGATCAAACCATGGCTTCACAGCCACTGGTGGACCTCCTCTCCTCCGAAAGAGACCGCGACTTCTAAAATGGAGGCTTTAGGATGCTGAAAATGCTTGTATTTCGCTGATGCAAATGGAAAGTAAAAGTTAAAAACAATCAACAGAAAAGCTCAAACTATGCTTTCTGAAGGATGAGCCCCGAGTCTGGTCTCGAAATACAGACAGACTCCAACCCAAGAAGGCAGCAAAGGCTAGGCACACAGAATACTGAAGGGTGCCCAGATACTGTTACTAAAGCATGACCTTCGCTCTCGTCTGTTGTTTTATTCATGCCATTTACACATTGTGAAGCTGAATCACTAATGTACATACTGTATTTCTTCACAACAGTTAAGCAATAAAGAAGAAATCGCCGTCTTCAGTGACAGCAGGTTAGCTACAGCGTATGTTGATGGTACAGAGAAATGTGGAGGGTACTACAGTATAAAACACAGGGCCTGCAAATGTGGAACCTGGTGCTCTTGTAAGCAGGCTACAGAACAGCCAGTGTGTACCAGAATACATTTCCTTACATCAGTAGGTATTGAAATTTCCAAAATGTTAGACATTCATTTGGAAACCTAATCAAGCCACAGAACCTTTCAAATGCCCTGCTAAGCAGTTTTTCTTCCGCCTGTGTCAATCTTATTCCAGAAGCACGCTGTAGCTCTGGAGGTCACCATCCGCAAACCCTCAGGTCTGTTTGTATAAACATACACAGTCCCCTCCACACGTGAAGGTGTTGTTAAATGACATGAAATTATTTCAGGTAAGGACATTTCACTCCCAGTGCTACATCTGGGGGTAAGCAAAGAGAAACTTCATTAATTTCTTGTTTCTATGTGCTCCGCTTTTCTTTGGAAAGATTTTGGCACTCCTTGTGAGAATTGGCTCTTTGTGTAAATAAATGTGCTCTTAGCCTCAGTGGGATAAAATGCTGCATTATTTATGCGTGCTCTTTCAATGTAGCATGAAGCGATCAAGATTTATTTTTCCCACTGAATTATGGAGATGTCTATGAGAACAGCAGCAGCACAATTGTGACAACTGGAGAAACACTGTACCATGATTAGCTGAGCAGTTAGGTCCCCACGAGACAGAAACTAAATCCATTTCAAGAGATCAGTCAATTCAATGATATCACAGCCAGCACAATTATATTGCCTAATTATTTCGCATATAAGCTGTTTGTTCTTTACAACAGTAAGACGATAGGACAATTTCAAGTGTCAGCCTCATTGTACAGAACAAATCCAATTATATCACACCAGCAGGGCTTTCAGTTGTCAGGAAAAAATGTTACCAATATCTCAGTGAGCTTAGAAAACTGAATGCGTAGGAAGAGGCAAAAAACACATTTACTTATTATTTTCAGGATCCAATTCTGGCGAAGCTTCCCTATGAAGAGCACAGAATTAGAACCAAATTGCCTCTGAAGCATTTCTATGTGCCACTCAGTGACTTCTGTTCATTGAAGTGTTCTAACCTTACAGCTCTTTTCCATTTCAGCAAATGAAGGATACAAGAGAATCATTTTCCTGGCCAGTCATCTGTGGACATGCCAAGGCTGGTGACAGAGTGTCATGAGTACCTGCCAGGGTCGCACCGACACATGCAAGGTCATTCCTCAGTTCAGACCACAGTAATTATCTTTTAGACACTGTTGTGTCGAGTATACAATGTCCAGTATAAGTATTGTTTAAAAAAAACTATAAAAATCAATCATACAACTCTAAATGATAAGGTCATTCACTCTGAATTCACACTTATTTTGGTGAACACTTATCAGAAGCAATGTACAAATACAAAATGAGCTACACAGCTGGAGAGAACACAAAAGCTGTTCATTAACATGTCTCAAGAGAAGCACATCTCTATCTCCCATCCTGCATCGCTGCTTCCAACAGGCTCCCTCATACAGCACTGCTGTGGGGACCAGGCCTTCACAGCCACCCAGCCTGCAAAGGGCCGAAACAGAACAGGGAAAAACCTTCCAGATACACACTTTCCCTTTTCAGCAGGGTGTGATTGCGCTTATGATTACCATTTTTGTTATGCAAGTATGTCTAGCCCAGAAAATTAGATTTATCCCTACGCTGAAGAATTAACGAGTAGATCCAGGTCATCGAGTTATTAGTTCTCCTGCTGGACAGGATGCACCGAACTACTATAAAAAAAAAAACATATGACCATATTTCTGGCACCTGTTGCACATCTGTGATTGTATAGATGATAACGCAACAATGCCAACAATCCTTAACACAAACTGACACTATTTGTCAAAAACCATCAACTAAAAACCTCTAAACCACACCTCTGAATTAAAATAAAATCAATTCATAGTAATACCTTGCTTGTCTTTAACATGATAAAGAAGACTGCACTCTTCTCTGCGGGATTTTAACCTTTCGTTGTTGAAGACACCACAAGTATTGAGTTTAAACATTGTGGCTCATTTATTAAACCTGGATGTTCACACATGCTTTGACCTAGAGTTGCGCACAAATACAGCCCTGAAGGTTCTGTCTAGGGTGTGTCTACACAGAAACAACATTTTTAATTTTGCAACTGTGCGCATTATCTCAGGACAGGACAGGTGCATCTTACCAGACTCCCAGAATGACAGCCTGTTCCTCAGCACTCAGGTCGGGAAGCTGATACTGGCCAGGTTCTGCCAAGTTTATCGTGTTGAGAACTATATCATCACTCAGGTCGTGATCCTGTGGACAGAGACCAAATTTAAACCAGATTTTGTGAATGTGAATCAATTCCAGCACTGCTACATGCCGGCACACACCCCATGGAAACAGCCCTTTACACCAGGTCAATCAACGAGAGGCAGCAGGAACATGCCAGGGTCGAGTTGGGGGGGTCAAGAGAGATAGCGGGGTTCTTAGAAGAGGAAGGGGGAGGGGGCAGTGGAATCACAAGGAGAAAAGGAAGAAGAGAAACTGGAGGTCTGATATTGAGAAGCCGTGTAAAAGATTTAATAAAGTTTACCCATTTTAATCTCTTGCATATTGTAAGTAAAGCATGCTGGAAGATTACCGTGATTACAGCCTGTTAAGTTGCATGTTCATACTTATGAACAAATGTTAAGTTAATGTATAAGACATTGATACCGTAAGTGCACACTGTAGGTATGGTACCCATTTCTCCTGTCTTGTACATTACACATTGGCTGCGTGTAAAGAACAATTCCCTCCCTGAGTCTTTCTTGGTCATCTGCTCCTTGTTCCTAGACATTCCACCATGTTCATTTCCTCACACACTCCACTGTTTATGGAATGATGGTAGACACTCCCTAGTTTCAGTGTTTCTTACTTTCACTATGCACTGAGACTCCTGATGAAGACATCGCGGTTTGGAGAACACCATTCGCACAGCATGGTGTCCGACATGTGATTGCTGGTGAGGAGTTACACCATATAACAGGACCACTGTTATATGTTAATGGCTGAACTGCGGTAGCACAATACTTTCTCCATTTAATTTCCACACCATGAGCTGCATGCTGTGCCCAGTAAACACTGCTAGCGAATAGAAATATGAAAACATGACAACGAATATGTAATGAATGAACACATGAGTCCTATTTAACAGTGTCCGTAAATGTAAGAGACATAAAGCCAAGGAGCTTTCAGAAGCGACTCTGCAGCAGTGGCTGATAGTTTGCTCCCTAGACCAAATGAGCTCCTGTGTGTGAAAGCATCTGCTAAATGACTAATTACTGGTGGGATCAGTGAAGTCTCACACTGCTGCAGAATTATTTAATATACAACAGATTATATTAAAGGGCATTACGCTAAACAGAGCTGGCACAGGCAGGCTATGACTACATTTTTTTTTAAACAGCAGGGATTTAAAATCAGATCACAACAGGCAATGTTCTGTTGTTTTTTTTAATTAAATTTTGAAAGCTTTTGTAGCAACACATCACCCCCGTGAAATGGGAAAAGCCACATATGAAATATTATTGTAAAAACACACCCTGATGAAATAAATAACATCTTAGGTTTCCTTGGTCCAAATGTGGCAAGTGTGTCTGTTCTGCAACATCTCGCATTACATCTGGCAAAATTCAGCAGCATTACGCCAAGTATGTCTTTGACATCCATCTGAATTTTGAGTTTTCACATTTGCTTTCAAGACAAAGAGCAAATAGCTTATATTCAGAATAGAGACAATCACGTTAGCGGATTCAGCGATATAATCAACTTAAAGATCGAAGTATAAGGCCACCAGAATATTCTGAGTTGGATAAACCATGGTTATGTGTCGAATCAACAGTGTCCAGCTTCTTGTGCCTAACAGTACTGTGAAACTGTGGATTGTACTGCTAATTCCACACGTGCTGTGTTGCATCCCTTACCTAATAAATATTCTATGACTCTATACAATTAGACAAGAAACCATTTCGTGCAAACATCGAGTACAATTGACATTCAACTTTAAAAAGCCTTTTTTGACATATCACAGGAGAAAAGTGAGAAGGTTGTACTGCTTTCTCTTTCCACCTATAAAAACAATGCAGCTCAAAAGGTGGAGTTAAGAGCTGTTTTCCCTGCAGGCAACATCAGCATCATTCCTTTCTTTCCTAGTCTTAAAATCAAACTCGGATTCTGAACGGTTCACATTTAATAATTCAGTACTAATGCATTTCCCCCTCTGGAGACTGTTAATGTCAGTTTGTTATTAATTAACACATCAAAGCCCCCTCACAGCTTGCCCTGCCTCTCCCTAGGGCTTCCTCTTCTCAACGGCAGAAGTGAAAAACCAAAAGGAAGTCCTGACCCGACCTAACCCTCAGCCACCCTTAGGGACAGCCGAAAGGCACAGCCGAGTCCTCGGCAGCTCAGCTGCAGAAACTGCTCGAACATCCATCCCTCTATCTGAGCTCCACATCACTATTGGCCATCATCAAAACAAAGTAATTCTCCACCTGTCTTCTACACAGCGGGGCGAGAGAGAAGAAAACGTGTTGATGACCCGACACATCAGCAGTGACTCCCCCTCAGTCTGAAACCAGAACACGACTCCTCTGGGCTCTTCCTCAAACTTGTACGTTCAAACTGTTTAAATATCTGCACAAATTTGCCATTTTGGAAGGTCGTTAAATGGCAAAAGGAGAAAGCATATAGGGTTCCTAATAAAAACTTGCACTCCGATTAAGCAAGGAACTTTTATGGAGGCTCTGTCCTTGAAATACAGCACAGAAATTCCACGTTCTACTACACACTTGAAATGCAAGCAAAGAGCAGGGACGTCAGGCACACCTGTCGCAATAAAGGGAGAACACCACTGAGCAAGATCATGCAACACAGGCTTCCTACATTCAGAAAAAAAAACACCGCACACAGTTTACACCAGAAGACATGGCACTATAATAAGAAGAAGAACAATATCCTTACATTTACATAGCATTTTTTTGGACACTCCACTCAAAACACATTACAGGTATTGGGGGCTCCCCTCCACCACCAGCAGTGTGCAGCCTCCCACCTGGATGATGGGACAGCAGCCAGAGTGCATCAGTGTGCTCACCACACACCAGCTCTCAGCGGGGAGGAGAGCAGAGTGATGACCCCAATTGATAGATGGGGATTACTAAGAGGCCATGATTGGTAAAGGCCAGGAGGAATTTGGCCAGGACACAGGGGTTACACTCCTATTCTTTACAAGAAATGCCCAAAGTGGCCCTCAGTACCACCGTGTAAATAAAAAACAAAGTACACAGTCGTGCGACCATATCAGGCATGACACGATCACCCCGAGAGGTCTGCCCTCCCCATGACAGGTAGTCAGGGAACAGAGAAGCAGAGAAGGCATGGTGTACCTTCGGGAGCCAGTCCAGTGGCGTAGGTGCAGGGGAGACGCTGCCCTCAGACGGGACACCCTCCTTGAGCTGCACGTCCAGGATCAGCTGTGCCAAGTAATTTTCCTGGAACTGCGTGCGCTTCCCCAGGGCTCCTAGGAGAAATGACGCCGTTTCATATTTAGCAGATGTTTTAGAAGACGAAAAAGGCATCTCTAGCTCCTGGAACATTCCTGATGTCCTGTCACCTGTTCACAGCCCCAGCATTTGCTACAAGTATAATTAAACATAAGTTCCCACTTAAAGTGCTGCACTTTCATTTCCCATCTTAGCTCTTGGGTGGTGTACACAAGGTGTACAACAGCCCCCCAGTATAATACAGCCAATTCCACCTTTCTAAACCAACACCGAGTCTAAAAAAAAAGTCTAGTCGCTTTTACCCGTCCCCCTGCATGCACAGAACTTGCAGCAGCACGAGAGGAACGGAGACGGCTCACATGGGCCAGCCGCCCTGCGAGCCCTGCAGAGGTTACGGCAGTTCCTTCTAAATGGAGGAGTGCTGCAGCTCTCACAGCAAAATGCTGTGGAAAGGCTGAGGATACCCTGTCCAGCTCCAAATCTCGGCAACACCTGGGTCAGCCGTGTGCCACCACGTGGGGGGATCCAGGCCGCGGTCGGCTCTCAGCTGGCCGAAACCAGGCTACTAGTGACCAACTTTACTGGAGGGGCCATTCTGGAGCCACCAGGTTACCATTCCATTACATGTTTCTACAAGGTCATTAAGAATATATTGTTTTGTGCCTGTTTTGGTGGAAAATAATGCAGTCATTTGTCACCGATTTCAATAGACTAAAACCAGGTTTATATAAAATATAATCACCAGAACATAAAAGGACCCAGCGGAAATCACTCGGCGGTTAACAAAATCTAAAAGCAGAGCAATTTGAATAAATCTGTGACATTTTCCCCAATTACAGCCTTTAAACTTCAGCAACCTGCAGTGAAAGTCCTGAGTTACAGTGGCTGTGGGATCCAGTGGAGTTCCACTTATTTTAGACTCCAGAGCCTGACTGATAATGGGATTAATTGAGCCCTTCCTTCACAATGAAGTCTGTGACCTTCAGGATGGGCTGAAAACAGTTCTTTTCATGACATGCCTTTAAAGAGATTTTTCATGAACATCAAGCTTTCTGCCTTAATGCAGCCAAAAAAAATTCTGAATCTAACGTCTCTTAGTAATGAGCTGTCCCAGTTAAAAAGGTGCTGTGAAATGTTCCAGCCAAGAAGAAAATAAGAGCCATCATATTAGTGCTCTACAGCTCTCTGCCTGCTGAGAGTGAAGCCCTCAGGCAGTCTGGACAGAGAGAATCCATGTGCTCTTAAAACTCACTGGAAAGAGATTGACGTCTAAGATCTCCACATTGCAAAACTGTCACCCAAAGGCTGCAAGGAGTCAAGAACATTGTTATTAACATTGGGAAAAGGCTAAAGTTCAAATTTGCCTGTCAAAAAGTCTAAAGACAAGGCTTCTTCCAAGTCATTTTCCATGTATATCAATATATTTTTGAGGGATATGAGGTTCATCTGCATAGTGTGAATCATAAGTTGCCCAAAGACATATCAACAGTACCTGTCAGGTTAATCTCAAGTCTGGCTAGATCCTTTGCTTGATTGAAGTGTTCGTTTGCCTTCTTGTAACAGTAATACATCAGGGATGCATAGCCACATTCAAGGTGGAACTGGATACGCAAATGCCGGTAACCGTCATTGTTGAAGAGGTCTTCCGTTTTCATCACTAGGTAAGAAAATAAGACCAAGGTCATCCCTCACATTTAATACACACAGCTGTGTATACATTGTCAATCTGCAGCAGGCTGGACTAGACACATGAAGGCTACATTCCTTCTTTTGTTTTGATGAGACCACCAAGAAACATTGTGAGACTTGTGAAAGTCTGGACACTTTTCCATTTCATGAGTATTTTTTTAATTATGCATGATCGTTAATATGCTTTAACAATATATAACGCATATCTTACATGAAATAAAGTCTGCGATAGGAATTTAATGTGTTTGCAATTTGTAAGGTGAGGCAAGCCTGCCAAGAACCGAGCTTTTATTACTGAGCCAGGCCTGATGTTACATTCACTCTTATTCACTTACGCCTTTCATGGGTCAAGTCTCCTTTCGGAGACCCAGCTTTTGTGACGGAGAATTAGAGCTTTAAAGCAATGGAGATTAGCTTCAGAGCACAGCTTGTCGCTTCCCTCAGACTGTGAAATTGTTGGCACTTACACCTCTGCAAGCTTGACTGAATGTTAAAATTAGGGCACACGCCGAGTCAGAGAAAGATGTTTAGCAAGCGTGGAATAAAACCGGAGATGAAAACGTGCCACTTTCTCAACATGAAGGCCTGCTATATGACAGCTTTTACATGAACAGAGTGTGCTTTCTTTAAATTATAAAACAATTGGGTCAGGAACACCCCCCCACCCCCCACCCCTCCTCCATAGGTCACTGTCAAGTGTATCATGAAAAAGGTTTCTAAGCAGTTACTGTTCAAATTCAATCCGCAGAAAAAAGGATCCTGAGGCTTTACGAGGGAACTAACATCACACGACTTGGCTCAAACACTAAGAGCTCTTTCTGGGATTGTGCGTTGGGCTCCATTGTCCAAAACCACCAGTTCAAAGCTATGTTATCATAGCCAACTCTGTCGTGGATCCCTAGTTACGGGCTGTTGGCATTTGTTAACGACAGTACTGGACAAGAGCTTTGAATGGGGAGGTGGGCTTGAAGCGAGCAAACATTGCCCTCTGTGGTTCTCAAGGAGCGTCCGAGCTCGGTACAGTGCAGTGCTGCTGGTTAGATCTGTGTCCGTTTTCATTCCCCTCTCCAAGCCCTGTCGATGGTGCTATGGGCCCCTCAGGCAGGAAGACGAATAGATGTCCTGACAGGTGCACTGTGGGCGCAAGAGTCGCCGATTCACAACCTGACATAACCTGACCATAACCTACAGTAAGGCAGCCAAGAACAAATTCTTGCATACCAGAACAGGGCGGAGCGGTGGCTCTGTGGCTAAGGATCTGCGCTTGTGACTGGAAGGTTGCCGGTTCAAATCCTGCGGCCGGCAGAGGAATCCTACTCCGTTGGGCCCCTGAGCAAGGCCCTTTAACCCAACTGCTCCAGGGGCGCAATGGCAGACCCTGCGCTCTGACCCCAGGCTTCTCTCCCTGTCTGTGTGTCTGTGTCTCCATGGAGAAAAGCTGGGGTATGCGAAAAGACAAATTCCTAATTGTAGGAAGAAATTGAATAATTTCAATTTCAATGCCAATAAAGAGACATTACATTTCACAGTCCAGTCAAGAGAACCACACACAAATGATGCACAGAAATGGAGAGCTGGCAAACGATCAGGAAGCAGCTTTATGGGGCAGAATGTGTAACTGGGAATTGTGTGGGTCTGGGACACACTTTCTAGCCAGGTGTTTGAGGCCCAAAACCTGGGCTCCTCTAAGAAACGACTGGAGCTATTTAAACCCTAATTCTAATACGCTTCCTGTTTTTGCTGTAGCTGGGCTCTCCAAGGTTCCTTTAATCAGTATCTCTTTCTGCTGGTCTGGAAAATCTGGTCTTTCTGTGTTTAATAACATGTAGCCAGGGCAGAGAAATACATCTCCTTCAGAGATAATGGAGGGATGGGGTCTTGGGATTCTACTAACAATTAACAATTAACTTTTTACCAACTCCACATTGTACTGAATGTGCAGAAAAAAAATATCTCACAGGAGGATTTACTGCAGGATCTTTGCATATTGTAGTGCATATAATATACAGTAAATTTCAGGAGTATTTTAAAAGAGAAAAAAAGCATGTGTATTATAATAAATGATATAGCATAATATCTATATATTCATATGAGTTAATATATAGTATGTCAAATGCCACTTTACAGAAGTGGATATAGCACTGCATACCATACTAGCACATAATACCATACTAGAACAGTTGCCAGGAGCTATCGAAATAGTAAATATTGGTATGTTGAACAAGAAAAATAGCCTCATCAAGAAATGCAGCCGGCTGTTCTGCTGATTGTAGATAACCCACATTGTGGGCTAGCCGAGCTTACTGGACATACCATATACAGCAGGTAGTCAGCCTGACCTGCCCAGCAAGACCAAGCCAAAGACTACACTTTACAATGCAAATTACAGTCAACCTTGCAAAGAACCAAGTACAGTATGACACATATCTAGAAAGTCACTGTTATATAGCAGTTTTACTATTTATGGCGGAACAACCCAAATATCTGGTAGAGAGGAATGCAAAAGGTATTTCTGTCCATCACTTTCTGCATAAAATGCACAATTACAATTAAATTGGCTGCAGAAATAATTACTCACACTTAAATCGGCCCGTTGTTAATTCACTATAAATCTTGATAGAATTCCTTCTCAGAAGAAGAGATCACTGTTGAGTGTGGTTTAATCAAACAATATTTTATTTATGCTCTTCTCAGGGTAGGAGTCAAGAGGCTCCACTCCGAGAACATCAATTATTTCAGGTCTCTGTAGACATAATTCTCCAGCAACAGCATTACATTGGGTCTCACCCTCAGGCTATTGGAAGAGAATGCATTTTTGAAATAATATTTTATTTGTTCTTTTCCTATATAGAAGAGTTATATCAGGTCTTGAATTCTTATTTTAGATGCCACATTTAATTCCCAGTCCCTATTCTGTCCATTTATTTCTTAGGTAAATTACTCTGTCCTTATTTAGAGGCAAGGTAGCTCTATCGAAATCTACACGGGCCCCTGTGACTTAATCTGTGATATTTACCGATGCTCAAAAAAGCTAAAAAGGGACCAGAATGGATTTTCCCCAAAGTTACACCTTTAATGTGCAACCCCAACTGCAACTGGATCTGGAAATTGTTTTGCACAACTCATCCAGAACAGTGCAAGAAACTGAGGACGCCTGCCTGTTTTTCAGGATTAACAAACAAATTACAAACCAATGGAAATTAATCCACAATACTGCTTTACACAACATTTTCTTTTAGACAGTTATGTCATTTAAAGAGAAAAAATACCACATGGTATTCAGTTTATTTACATTGAAAATGCAAATTTCGATAACTTGGCTTCTTTTTAGTGCAATAACAATTCAGGGCAGCAGGTCTACCTCCAATGAGTAGAGAAGACATTTGTCCAAGTCAATTTGGTTAACGTAGGTCAGGACCTAACCTGAGAACCCAAATACAGGATTATGAAGGGATTTCCTGCTAAGAAAATACAGTCGTATGAGGTGGGGTTTGGAATTCAAAGTACCAATTGAACAGTTTTCTACTCAAAGGTCATAATACTCAGTGAAAAGCTTTAGTAAACACCCACAAGCTGTGGTTTAATACTAAAAGGAAAACTCTATTACCCAACATGATAAGTGTTCTTACCTTGACCAGAACAACAGGGGTCAAAAGATGTATAAAATACTTTCTAACAATTGCTGGTATAGAAACTTGTGAAAAAACTAAAGCTTTAAAAAAGAGTGAATACAGCATGTTTTCTCTTTTCAGTCTTACCTTATAACAACCGACTTGAAAGAAAACCTTAGTCTACAAGTAGCCTTATTAACTAAAAGCAAGAATTTTCCTTAACCTGCAAAGACAGACCGTCATAGATAAAAGCAAAACTGTAAAAAAGCATTTTACGCCTAGAGCATCCCGCATAAAACACATTGGATAGGCTGTTGCCAGCAGCATCTTAGTAATTACCAGCTTACTTTTTCAAACTGTATAACCCCACCTTACTGAGTTATTTTTAAAGATGAAAATTCACCATAGACTTCACTCATTACTCAACAGTAAGCTTCTGTCAGTGCTTGTTATTAAGTACAGATAATCCAGTGTGTGTATGAGAAATGTCAGTGGCCTTATTTCTGCAAGACCTTTAAATATCAACCTTACTCCCATTTATATGTGGAGGCATTCCAATGTGTCACACCTCTCGTTAACTCTCCAGTGTGTTCTTCTGTCTGGTTTTTCGTTACACTTTGAGGGTTGGCAGCTCAGAGTGAAACTCAGTGAAACTCAGACACTGAAAGCCTGTTTTCATGATCATTAGCATTTCCACTGTAGCTCAGAACAGACCAAGCCCACACTGCAGAGATACAAGACAACCCCTGCACAATTACATGATTTGACTACAAATTCTGAACACATTATTTCCTTTGCTACAGTAACCACATCTTAACAAGCTTATCTTCTGCTCTATCAAACATACAAACAGAAATTGAATGCCTAATCAGTCTTTTGCATTACCCTGAAACAGCTTTCGTGGGCCTTAATTCAACTCGTGACTGACTAACTGGGGTACAGGCAAGTTGAAACAGAAAATCAGAAATCAGCCCAAGAGAGAAACGGTGATAGACAGATATTCAACCATACAACCTAACTCTGATGTGAGCATTTGAATGTCAGGGGTTACAATGCAATTCTATGATAAAATGGAAAGACTGAAGAAACAATGTACACATCTTTCCTGTGAAACACTTTAGTAACCTTCTGAACACTAATACCTGTCAACTTGCATATGAAGGAGGAAATTTATAACGTGGACCGAGGCATAAAAGAACTAGAAATAAACCAAGAGAAACTGCTAAAACTTTAATAGTTGAGAATGGGAAAGTGGCCTGACGGGTTACAAAAATAGAAAAGAGAAACTTTAACTATTAAGAGTCTTACGGTCAACAGTAGAAATGTTTAGCACTAATCGACATTTAGAATAAAGGAAAATTAGCTTTTAATCATTAGGAAAATTAAATACCATTAAGAGAAAGTAGGCTAAGGTCTCTGGCAAATAGGACATACTTTTACAATCACATCTACAGGAAAAATAACCTGTGCCTCCTCACCATCCCTTTTCTGCCATTTCAGAAAATAACCTTCTCCCAGCAAATCAACTGAAAACCCTCAATCATTCACACGATGGGTGCAGAGAGGGCAGTGAACCCGCTCCAGAGCAGGGCTGTACGGCCGTGGGCGTGGAGGGCGGGGGGCGGCGGAACAGCGGGGCTCCTACCTCTCTCCATGCAGTCCTCGGCCTCGGCCAGCAGCCGGGGCGAGCGCTCCTCCAGCAGCTGCTGGTGCAGGGCGACGCATCGCAGGGCCCACCAGGGCAGCAGCTGCAGAGGCCAGAGAACACACAGGTCAAGCCAGGCTCTTCCCTCTGCTGTCCCGGCTTCCACACCAGCTCCGCCTTCTCTCCCCAGGATCCGGGCTCCAGCAGCGCGGAAGACAATGGCGTTCTAAAGAACGGCCTCAAGCCACCTTGCTTTAATAGTAATAATTCCTTATACTTACACAGCGCTGGACACTCCACTCAACATGCTTTACAGCTAATGGGGGAATCCCACTGCCAACACCAATGTGCAGCCCCCACCTAGATGACGCAACGGCAGCCAGAGTGCACCAGTACGCTCACCACACACCAGCTCTCAGTGGGGAGGAGAGCAGAGTAATGAAGCCAATTCACAGACTGGATTAGGAGGCCATGACTGGTAAAGGCCAATGGGAAATTTGGCCAGGATGCCTGCGTAACACCTCCACCCTTTTCAGAAACATCCTGGGATCTTGAACGACCATAGACCGAGTCAGAACCTCAGTTTAACGTCCCATCCAAAGTATGAGCTTTCTTCCATGATCTTTTGAAAAACATTTAAAATTAATTTGAACAATATTTTTTATGCTATTCTTAGGCACTTTTTTTACAAAGGACCTGTGCAGTGTTTTTACTAGTTATAATTCTACCTAGACTGCCAAGCAGAGTGCCATTCTTGCAGGAGTGATGAAATCACTAAGGAAAATTGGCTTCCATTCCTTCCTGATGTATCCCATAGATATCAAAGCACAATGCATAAAAAAAAAACACCCAGTGAGCCTATTTACAACAAAGGCCTTTGGCGGCCTCTAGTGGCAAGGCATCAGCCATTAAAGTCCATCCCTAAACCAGCCAGCTACACATTACTCCCAACCCTCAACTGTAAGGCAAATGTCACTGCCTCAAAAATACAATTCCAAGTACACTACTTCTGAATCCTTCCCAAGATCTAAAAAAAAAAAAAAACGTATTCATAACCCTAAAGGAGCACAGAATTGTCAAGGCAAGAACTTTATATTTGGTTTACGATAATTACCCCATTTACGGTAAGAACAAAGTACTTCACTCAAAGCACCCCAGAAAAAAACTCAACGACAAACAGGCTTAATTATATATTGCTTTGGACAAAAGCACTGGCTAGTACCATAGTTATCAAGATAAACAAAAGGTGCAAAAATGTCCAAGGAGGCAGCAGCACAGAGGAACTGCAGGAGACAGTAGTCAGAGCTCACATTATGAAGATGGTATCTTCCATCTGACTACAAAGGATGCACCTTCATTGCAGCGACGAGTTCTTTGAAACTGCAATAAACTGGTAGGAAAAGGCAGGCTTTGTTACAGAGAAAATCAGTTAAGTAAGTGTTTTAAAATAGAGGGATGGGTGCATACTGAAGACGCATTAAAGGCTCAGGGCTGGATTTACTGCTTATTACCTACATTAAAATGGAATGCTGGCCCCATGGGAATGAGGGCTTTTCTTTGTTCCACTTGTGCTTAACTGTATTAGCGATACATTTAAACCAGGTTATCTATGGTAACAGCAGCGAAGACCTGCTAACTTTTCTCAGAACATAAATCGCCACCGACAGCCGCTGCGTTCAACTTGAGCACAGCAGGCAGCAGCCCGAACACAGGAGAGACAAAGACTCAGATCCCCAGCGTGACACTGCCGTCGTGCCCAGGAGCAGGGAGAGCGCCCCTCGCAGCACTCCCGCGGAAAAACGCTCAGCTACACAAACCGGGCTCAACCGCACACAGCTTCCGGCAAAAGCATCCGCTAATAACCTGGACAGATGAACAAAAGAACAGCAGAATTATCTGCGCAACAGGGAGGAGGGGCTTGCAAAGGCACAGAATTAATAAAACGTTAACATCACAGACGCTGCGAGAGGAAAGATGGGACGCGTCAACAATTAAGACTAACCCCATTCCTCTGGATCCCCCTTCACCATGGAAACATGAAAACTGAACATCCTGCTGTAAAGAACTGGGCAACTGCCAAAAACCCAGAACACCAAGGACATAACCGTGGCAGATATTGCTTAAACACCGTGAAATAACGCCGTCAACACAAAGAAGGGGTACAGTTAATTGGTAAATTGGTCGTTCTTCAGTGTGGTATTCTCGTATTCTCTCTGAAGCATGGAAACTACACAAAAAGAATTTTAGTGTAAATCAACAATTTTTCCGTCGGCACAGTCTACAAGGTTTTTAGTGCAGGCAAAAACTTATAAAAACTAAAATAAAGGAGCAGACAGCCATGGCATCTACATTTTTCTTCCATAAGGTTCAGATCTGTTGCTGAAATTGTCAGCTGTTTCTCGCTGCTCTTTTTTAAAAGGTTACAAACGCATGTGGCCGAGAACAAAATCTTTCAGACCACAATACATGAGCTTAAGAGGATTTCCTGTCAATAGCTACCAATGATAAGAAAAATGTGCATTATGTACTTCAAGACAAATTAACGTCAAAGCTCAAGATTACATTTACAACCTTCTCTCATCATATACTCCACTAAGCAGTCTACATTCCCTAAGCTCTGTCTCATAAAAGGGACAGCAACAGTACTATCCCTTTTAGAACAAAACGGAAAGCTTACTTTTATACCTTAGCTTTTATCCGTTCATTTTGAATTGTTGTTAATTTGTGCTTATTAGTATTTCAGTGTATAATCTTTGCTTTTGCCGTTTGAGCTGCATTTATTTCTATGCTATACTTAAATACACAAAAATATTATGCAATATAAAATATTAAGTTACACCAAACCCCATCTGCATTGCAAAAGAGTCTTTTTCCTAACATCACATGTATTCCGATTTGAACAGGTACAACCTGATACATTAGTTTCAAAACACAATCCAATATCTTTCATGTGGCAATAAATAATGTGAATTATAGCATTTACTGTATTTCTATAGTATGATGGAATGGCTGATGATAACTGGGTATTTTAAGGTGCAGCCCGATCATCAAATATATAATTTTATATATATATATCTTTGTTTCTTCCAGTTCTCAATCAAGCAAACTCTTTTTTATAATAAGAAGATCTTACAGTGTGGAACAATGCAATCATGCCTTTTCTGCACCCCTGGCTGCTCCTGATGAATGAAATGTGTTGAATATAAACAATGCGAGCTGAAGAGTTTGCACCTTGAAAGGTGAAGTCTGCACATATTAAAAGCTACACCGGATTATGCTTTTAATCGTGTTAAAATGGCCCCGCAGTTGGTGAAAGAGAGAACGCGCTGTCTGGGAATGATCCTGGGGGAAACAGCAATAGAAAGTGACTGAAGCATTCAAGGTTCATCAATCCACAATATTAGACATTTGCAGTGCTACCAACCGCTAGGAAACACTTATAATTGATCCAGACTCAGTTATCTGCTTCTAATCAACCAAGAAGGACTGTCTGAGGGACTATTTCACATGGAAACAAACACACCTGCTAACACAATTGGTACAGCCACAATGCATCCCTTCCTAAAACATGCAGGCGGTCTCCAAAAGCACCTTCAACATGCAATAAAGCATATATAACCTCCAGCAAGGTAGATCAAAGGGTAATGTTGAGGAAATGGTTTGACCTATGTAATATAATACAATAGATAAAAACCATGGAATAAAAGATTTAAAACTTGTAGCTCCACCCTTGAGGTTTTTGCTCTGTACTCAAAAATTGTTCAGTCTGTATCTTTACAAGGCGACCACAACTTCAGTTAGAAAAGTGCCTCATGTGAAGTTGTTTAAGATGTGATACAACAGCTCAAGGTGCTCCTGGTTTATTGTGCAATAATGACCTTCGGGGCTGCAGTGTCCTGAGTGAGGAATCCAGTGATCCTCCAATGAAAGCCTATACTCCCATAAGGCACTGCGGAGCACGTCAAGCGAGACGGTTTCTCGTGAAACTGAGAAGTAAGCCCCACCGAAAACATTACCCACCTGAAAGCTTTCGAGTTTGGAGGCACAGCTGATGAGCACCACCCGGGCCAACACCAGCAGGATGGGGTTGGACACCAGGCTGTACACAGACTCCCCATCCAGGACCAGGCTGTTCAGGACCGATGCGGCGAGGGCCTGAGGCTGAGACAACAATAACTGATGACTTAATATCAGCAACATCTCCCACAGCTGTCCCATCTATCACCGTCTAGTGCAGGCTCACAAATTCAGACACACACAGTGGATGTCTAAAGCAGTGTGGGACCCTATGCAATGAAAAGCACTATAGAAAAGCAAGGAATTATTTATTGTCATAACGCACAAGACAAAGTTAATATCTAACACAAGCAAAGAGGATCAGCAAAAACCACTATCCCACGTGTACTGTAGCAGAGCTGAGCGCTCATTATCAGCTCTGCCTGTCACATACATCTTCATTAATGTACGCTAGGAGCCCGATGCTTACGTGCGTTTCAAACCCTGTGAAAACCCATTTCCTTTCTTTTTAAGGGATGGAACCATGACGAAATGATGCAAGCAATTCCTGCTCCGTTGATGAGCGATAAACAGCAGCCCGAGTGGCACAACAGACAGCTGCGCACAGTTTGCCAAATTTGACAGATCAGCAAAACGCAGCTGCAATTAGACGTCCAGGTCCCACTCTCTCACGCCATCAAGGAAACAAACCTCCGAGAAGTGCTGCAGCAGAGCGGGGGGGAGGAGGTCGTGTGCCTGGATGTCAACAGGAGGGCCAGTCCAGTTACTCTGGGCGAAGAGCTGCACGCAGGCCACAGCCAGTGCAAACAGCACGGCCTCCCTGCGAGACAAGTCAGCACACGTTACCGGACCACTTTAACACACAACGATACCTCTACTGTCTGCAAACTACAAATCCAGATGAACTACAAACTTAATTTCCATTCCCAAGCTTCTTCCTCAAATAGTTAAACAGTACTAAAAGACCACGCATGTAAAACAAACACGCACGCGTATATAGATTCCCCTTTCAACAAAAATACACAGGAGACAATTTCCCATTCAAATGCATAACGCATTGCAGTCTTTTGTCTGCAGCAGAATGCTGTGCGTGAATCATTATCGTCACCGATGCAAAACTAACAATTACCAATAATTATGTAATTCAAAGAACAATTGCTTTTGGAGTGTAGTGGGTGGTAAAACCAGTGTGACAGTGATTAAAACCACAATCGCCAGTGGCATGATTCCAAAATGGACTTATGCTCCAAGACTGATGTAATACACTTGCCAGTCATTGTTCAGCACCGCACAATGTTGAAGCAGATGGTACAGTACCTCTCAGCCTTGTCATCCTCTGTGGAGTTGCTTAGGTAAGCCAGGACCTGCTTCTCCAGAAAGCCATCGATCTTCTCTTCCCCGGCACGGTCCGCACCCAGAATATCCAGGATGACAGGACTCAGCAAAACGCTTTCAAAATTCCCCTCCAGCAGGGACTCCAGCAAAGGACCACTTTCTGCAACACAGAGGGAAGAGTTGGTGTTCACCAAGGGTCAGCACTACACCTGCTGGTACTGAAGGTAATTACAGCCAGTTATGAATGAGAACTTTTCTAGAGAGCCACAGTGAAGCTCTCTCAGCATACCAAAGCGGGAAATGTCTCACTCCATACAGAACAAGCACCAGTCCTGCCAGAGAATCATCTTTCTGTTAGAGCAAGAGCCTTTACATTCCTCTACTTATTCAAATGCATTGCCATCTCATTTACAATACAACATATCAGATTAAATAAATGTTAATACCATTCCCGCAGGCAATGCAGAAGGAAGCGATACTGAAAACGTTATATGAAAAAAAAACATTTATATGAGTTTTCTCTACTTAAATGACAGACTTCCAAGTGAAATTGAACTCAGAAGATGAAACCATAATACATCTGACTTCTTGTTACTTTCTTAGCTAAAGGTCATTAATGCTGTCTGCACTGATCATTTCTAGTGGGAAGGCTTCTGTATAAAAACATTGTTAACTGAACTCAAAAGAGAATTGCTTTGTAGGTCTAATAACTCATCTCATAATACTTTGTGTTCTCATTAAGAAGACATTGACATGGTGATGGCAAATTTGTAACAATAAAAAACACTTAGCATTTTACGTTTTTGTTGTACCTTGACAGAACCTCGAATATTTATAGAATTATAGTGAATCTCCACAGTGAAGCTCCATGGAGGTTAATAAAATAGAATAATAAAATTTTGATTCCTTTCAAAAAATGGACCAGCGATGTAAAGAATGATCATCCTTTACTCATGTGAATGTTCTGTAACTGAAATATGAAGGTCTACCACAGCAGCCCAATTCATTGTTCGTCATTAAATCATTGAATTCACCCGCATCTCTGCTTCCACACTGCAGCAGCTGAGCGCGTCACCGTTCTGTTAACCTAACTCGTCTGCTGTTCTCCAGTGCGTCTGACAGCGACGTTAATCATCCAGCTGGACGGGTACTAGCGCTGCCGTTAAAACATTTATTAACGGTTATATCCCCATGCCCACTCACTGCACACGATAAAAACGACGGATATCCTAATGACTGCCATGCAGGGAGATGCTCAGAAGACACAGAAGGCAATACTCATAATTCTAGTTCACGATGTCAGGAGATACGGTGGTTTGCTTTCATAAAACAGAAGAGGCAAAATAAAAGTAAATGAGATTTGTCTTGCGTCTCGGAGCTCCATCCTGGACAACAGAGAGTACCAGTGGCGTTCAGGAGTTCATCGGAATCTGAAAGCTTTGCGCTTGCACGCCCGCAGCAGTAGCGAGTGTCGAGTCGCGGTGTAGAACGCGTGTGTCGATTGGGCGTGTGGTCTGGAGCAACGACCCGCTCCTTCGCAAACGGGACATTTTCGTGACATTTGTTGCAAGATACGTGCAAACGTAACCGTCCTTCAGGACTGAACTGAAACGTCACCACGAGTTGGGTGCACTGACGGGGACTGTCAGATGCGCAGAAGGACCGGTCCGAGAGTCATTTATATTACATCATATGGAGGCATCAGTGCAACGCACGCATATTGATAGTGTAGTCGAGTACTGTATTACTTTAAAACACACCACCCAAAACAACTGTCCTACGAATTCGCATTATTAATAGTCTTGTTTACAACATTAATCGAAAAACGTGCCAATACAAAATTACTATGCCTTCTTACATAACTAAGTTATCTGCCCCAGCACTTATGGTGAACATCACCACATCACTAATTTGTAAAGTCACGTTAAGATATATTTTTTAATCTCGACTCTGCGTCTCACAAAACGCTCCGTCACTCACCTGCATTGCTGAGTATGTTCTGCTTCCAATCCGTAGCCTCGTTTTCTGTCAGAAAGCCTCTCAGAACAGGTATCTCCACGTCCCGAACCATATTTCAGGGGGGAAAAAAAGATCTGTGCTGCCTCGCAAAATGACGCCACCCGGCTGACTTAAATTTTTAAACGTTTTTATTTCCTCCGACCGCCACAACGGCCTGTACACCTCTGCGCGTCCTGCTTCACGACTGTTTATATCATCCCATGTGCCGAGAAGAGCCTCAGCGAGCGGCCATGACACTTCCTGCGCAGCATTGTGGGAAGGCGAGCTGGCGGAGAGTCGCGCTCATTAAGGGACCGAGGATGTTTTAAAAGAACTCCGTTATGAAGGAGGGTGAATGGCACGGTGTGAAATGTTCTTTTTTTCCTCTCTTATTTTGTCTTTCAGGCTAATTAACATGTATTTTACGTCGAAAAGCAGGACTACACTAAAAGACTGATATCTAAACCCTTACTAAAAACGCTTCTGCATCTGCACAGCATATAATAGTCTAACATTGGCATGTGGCATTACGAAAGAACAGAAGTGGTATTGGGAACACTGCTGGTGTAAGCACAGTGTCATCAACTAGCACAGGTCTTGTGCAATTATTCTGGTGGTATTCTACTGTTTCTCATATCTGGAACCTGATTTTGGTGGGTACCCGTTTTCTGGTGTGGTTTGAACACGTTCTCCAGATTTGATCTTCAGTCGTCAATCGGCTGTGGCCAATGTGACCTGGATTGGCCCTTATCTGATCACGAGGTGATGTTTTTACCATTCCACTTTTTTTAGATCACCGTTATCTTAGAACATAAAATCCATTCATTGATAGAGGCACAGTACCTTGCAGCAGGATAAACATTAATAATTCAATCCAACACCTGCTTTTTCAACTCCTTGTCTGCTTCTCTATTGTATTAATGTCCTTTAGCAATCACCACTTTTTTGCCTGAGGTGAAAAATTGCACCTGGTGTAGTTCCCTATTGACTTTATACAAGCAGTTGTAAGGGCACAAATTAAGAAAACCTCTCTACATGAAAACATCCTCAGTTATTAGACCAATCTAAAGTACAGCACAGAACTGCTTTAGAGCCGGTGAACGATCTGTTATCATAATTGGTACTGTATTGGAAATTCCTGTGTTGCTTTATGCTGGGTGTTGCCTTCAACGTTGTGATCGCAACATTGTCCTTAAACACCTCTGTGGATCAACGGACAAGGCTGACATTTCTCTCTCGGTCGGTTTGGAGTCCCACCCTGCGTACTACTAGGTGATAATGTGAATCAAATGGTCCTCAGGTTATGTATCTGTTTTTACTGGTATTCCTTAGGGGTCCTTCTTGAGCTCTCTATAATTACAGTCTAGACTTCTGCCTTAGGTCCAATGCTTCAGAAATTTGGCATTGTTCATCATATTTACGACAATCAGAATGATCTCACTTCTATTCTAAGTCAGTCACTCGTCCCGCCATATGTTATCTTACAGCACGTTGCCAAGATACAAAATACTGAGCATATCAAATCTCTTAAGCTAAATGAAAACAACCTGTTTTAAGTGAAAACAGGTTAGTCAGTTCTGGGCAACAGCGATTGCCCAATTCAGAAGGGTGTTAATATTGAATTTTCTTCTAATGCTATAGTCATAGTGACTATGGTGCAGTGGAGAGTGTTGCTGCCTTGTTACTGGGGCCTTGGGTTCAATTCCTGGAGTGCTGTATGTGTGGCGTCTGTGTGGGTTCTTCCCACAGTCCAAAGACATGCTGGTGGGATAATGGGAGTTTGGGGAAATTGACCTTGGTTTGAGTGTGTGCTCTGGGATGGACTGGTGTTCCATCCAGGGTGTGTCCTGCCTGCTATCCATTGTTTGCCAAGATAGGCTCCAGCTCCCCCTTGAACTGAATTAGATAAAGCACTTAGAAAAGGGATGTGTGGGTGCTGTAGCCACAGACCTTAGTGTACTTCTTCCGTTTCAGGCTTTGAACCTCCTCAAGGGGGATTGTGTCTCTGGAATATGAAAATTGCATTTTTTTTTTCATTGAAGTAATACTGACAGTATCGTATCTTGCTTAACTCTTTCTACGGCGGACTGGAGTAGCCGTTGGCTGTTCTGAATCCGGCCCAGAGTCTCCGTAAATCGTACCAACATCTGGAGCTTCACACCAACATGCTCTGCACATCTTATAGTTAGCAGATGCTGGTCTGTTGTCAGTGCCCCTGGCAGGTTGTTACCTGGCACACCTGTTTTACCTAAGCTAGAAACATCTTTGTCCAAATCAAATTCAGTCTGGGAATATTTTTAAAACTTGACGAAAAGGCTATGTTTAACTGATTATTGTCTTTTTCCTGTAGAATTCTTGTTTTTCTCATCATTTATTTTGTATCATGTTCCTAATTTGTGTTTTATTGTCGTGTTATTGTAGGACTGTGGTTGCTGGACAAGTAGTTAAAAGCAGAAAATCAGACAACACAGTGGAAAAGAAGCTGGAGTAATATAGCTGTTTGCTTACAAAGAGCATCTGTTCCAGCTGGATTCCAGTTGATCTTACAGCATTTGCCTGTGTCAGTTTGCAGTTTACATTCGCAGGAAAATGGAAAACGTTACAGTGCTGTTTAATTAAACATGTCAAATACACTTTTTAAAATAAAGTACTGCGGCTTTATAAAACTGCACATTTGCATTTTAGTTTGGGGCTGGTCTTTGATTTCATTTCTTTTCCTTCAGAATAATTAAGAATTTAGAATCTGTGTTTTATCCTGTTGGCTCCCAGTGCACATTTCCTTTTATTGGGTCTTTTTATTGTGTTCTGTGTGTGCCCTCATGCACAACAGCAGAGCACTCTTTTATAAAAATGAAAGGTGTAATTTGTCTTGATTATCTGTACTGGCAGGAGGTTGTCAGGGGAACTCAGAAGCTCGGCTCAGGCTGGGTGAGACATTCAAGGCTGCAGGTCTATTCCCAGATACTGGAAGGTCCAGCCACTCCTCACTGGGCTTTTGAAAAATAAATAAAACAAATCATTTCAACATGATTAAAGTAGAAATTCTAAATAGACTACATGCGACACGTCATTCAGAATTGTGTTGATTTAATTCTCATCACAGCAAGTGGTTGCTGGAAGTCTATGGCTGCCTTTCTGATCTATTTCATGTAAAATGTCACGTTGACACTTTAATGAAAATTATCCAGGTTTGCCCTTTATTGATTTTGAATTATTAGTTTGCTTAACAGAAAGATCATACAGCTCTTGAAAATAGCACAGATGACTAATCCCGTGATCTGGCATCAAACAAAAACAAGTGTATGATTCAAAATCCCAGGAGCACAACAGCAGAGCTCTGACTTATTTCATATCAGCTCAGGACTCATTATGTACCCTGGGTTTATTACTTACTGTTCATGCATGACATTTCAGAGAAGGGTTATGAGATTTTAAACGTGATCAAATGCCCTAATGAAAGCCAACACAGGAGAAATGCTCTGAATCCCAGGCTGAGGATATTTATTTAATATTACTGGTGAAGAAAAACAGATTTCTTCAAACCTAATGACTGTAAAAAGCATAAGGTAAAGCAGGCGGACTATTCAAACATGCCAGAGGGATACAGCAGGATGTTGCTTGCAGCTCCCCGTGTATATGAACACGCTTGTCAGATCACTCTGACAGCGACTCGCGCGGTGTGACTCAAGCATTGCCACTGGAGACAAGAGGTCAACAATATCCCTGGGTCACTTGCTTACTGTAACCGTGCAATGAAACTATATAAAGAAATGAAATTTGGTGCTATGGGACGTTATTGCAAGGATACATCAATGTCCCTTGTTCATTCTGCTGCTGTCTAAAGGCTTCCTATTTGGAAACTTTTTGTTAAGAGCTTCCAATAACTGGGAACATTTGCCTTACAGCCAGAAGAGAAAAGCTTGGCTCCACCAACACCATGGCTTAATTTGATGAACACCCTGAGGAGAAGCTTTTGTGTTCACTCCGTCTGTTTGCCAAAGAGCAGAACAATTCCTGAACCTTTTCATCCATAATTTCAACTAGCTCTCTCTCTCAAGACAATTATCCTGCATCACTGTTCAGATTCCCACACGGCCATACTCGATGGGGTTTATTTGTGTTGTCCCCAAATATCATTACCAATACGGTTTTAGAATCGGAGGAAAGACAAACTCACTGCAGGAATATTGCAAACAGACAAAAAGGCTAATTCTACACTAACTGGTGGATATATCAGAACAAATTTGTAAATTAAAGAAAATCATCAAACCGTGGTGCCAGATTTGCAGTAACTGCCAGTCCATGTAAATATGCAGGTTTCAGATGCACAGTTTGCACTGTTTGCACTTTGTCTTGTTTTTTACACTTGTTTTACAATCGAGAGACTTTCTGTAAGTAAGAATTCCATTGTACCAGTACCGGTTACATATGGCAATAAAGTTCAAGTTCCTGTGATGGAAGTCATGAAAACATCATGGCATTTAAAAAGCACTTGATAATTTTGATGTATTTTTTAGGTGGCAGCATGGCTTATGGTTGTTATAGCTCCAGCTGGTTAAACTTCGGATGCAACAATCTCTTGTTCCAAGTGAACAGCCATCAGACAGGCACAAGGCAGGACTCACCCTAGACTGGATGCTCGTTCATCGCAGGGCTCACGCATACGCAGGGACGATACGGGGACACTAACCTAGGTGGCACACTGTATCTTAGTGCACCTGGAGACAACGCGCAGGAAGAAAATGCCAATGACACACAGGAGGCTACCAGGGCTAGAACTGAGCCCAGCATGCCAACTGAAGCCCACTTGCTGAAAATGCAGCGTGTTTTGGAAGCTGTAACATTTGCTGCAGCAGCACAGATTCCAAAACACATTTGCAATGCTTATTCAATATCTTTGTCAGAATATGGAAATACTTAGATTTAGATGTCGGACGTCACAAAAGTGTCTCACAGCTGCAGATGCTCGCTGGGTGGAATTCTAACTTTGCAGTCACTTTGTGCGGTGCCATTGTGCTGATGAAGATCAATATAGAACATATTATTAATATTGAACAGACTGGTAAAAGAAATCATTCAAGACATTATGAAAGGATTGAAAACGCAGCTTGTGCTCATGCTTTGTAACAATGTCTGGCCGCCGTAATCCCACAATTAAAATTTACATTGGGGAAATGTAAATGCTTTCACCAAATGGAGCAAATGAAGAAGACCCTGTTGACTACGATATGTACGCGTAGGTTTTATCTTGCGCGATCAGGTCTGCAGCTGATCAAGACACACATAAGCAATAGAGTCCGGGATTTTACCTTTTACTTCCAACAAGCTTCATCTGAGAGTCCTGGAATCCTTTGGTCAGGGACCAGATCCAAAGTGAAGGGTTAATCCAGTCATTGCACTGGGACTTCCTTGACAATCCACATTTACAACTTAGATCTTTTACACCTGACATGACCCGGGCTCGAACCTGCAACATCTGAGCTATGCAGCTCCACCACACCAGTACCTTGAATGGTTAAAGTACTCAAAAGGTCCTCCCTCTAAGGATGACATGGTTTAGAGATTCTGATCATTTCTGAATTGTTTTTCTTTTAGTCCTCTTGCCACATGACTTTGGGACAGTGTGCTTTGAGATGATTCACTACTAACATTTCTTAGTAAACATTTTCTCAGCTTATCAGTTCTAGATGGCTACAGAGATTCCCTGTAAAACATACAGAAGAAAGGAAAGTCATTTTAAATCTATTAAATAGTGAAAAGAACCCATTTAATAGAAAAGTTTTTATTATGTTCTTACAAAGGTAATTACTGGTAGACCAAACGAAAAAGAAAAACATTAAATTCAGTGCCAAAAGGTGTATTTAAAATCAACAGGTTTGTCTATTACAATACTCAGAAAAGGTAACCTGCCGTTACACCATTAAGCAGGTTTATAGAAGACTGAGATGTTAGTCTTCTTGTGCTCAGTCCCAGTGGTTTAAATTATATTTTTCAACCAATTCTTTACAAAAAAAGGAAAAAGTCCTATAGTTCTATTCTATTCGAAAATGAAATTGCATTGCGTGTACCCTGTGTTTATATGCCACGTAAAAACCTTCCAAGATTTACAGCAAGACAAACAAATTCAGTTTTAGTGAATGAAAACCTTCAGTAGTATAGGTTTCCAGGACTAGATTTTTTAATCTTACTAGGGTGTGACCGCAGTGAATTTAAAATGACATCTTCAAGAAAGGCACAGCAAGATTGATGTCAGTCAGTTTGTTCATTATATACAGACCCCACTGATCCAAGCATCCTGAGATTCATACATCGCATAAAACAAGTTGCATTTATTAAACTTGCATTTAAAATTAGTACTGTATAGGCAAAATTAAATAGTCAAACTCAGTAATTACAAGTGTATGTACTTATTAAACATGTATCCAGCAATAAAAAGGTAACAAGTAATCAATCATAGCAATAAAGAATGTCCATTTAGCTTTTATTGATGTTTACAGGAGTCTGTAGAAATCAAATAAGCAATGTAAATGGGCAACCATAAGATCTCTCAAATTGAAGTGTGTTCTTTTTTTTAAATAGTATTCTTAAAGAATGACCAATATATTCTTGGTTACAACTGTCCTTGCTCTAACAGTCAAAATGAAAATTAACATTCAGTAAACATTCTTTTCTAAAGGTAGTTCCCTTATGTAATCGGTGATTTCATCTGTCATTATGTATACATAAACAAGTTTAATAACATACCAATCAGTGGTTATTTCACAATTGAAAAATAAAAGCACAAAAAAAGTTTACACTCTTTTACAGGGAAATAAAAGATCGTTCGATTTAAACTATTTCCTTAAGGGCATAGCATAGTCAGCTTTTTTTGTCTGTTTTTTTTTTGTTCCGTTTTTCCTCTGTAACTATTACATAATTAGATTCTTACATACAAATATGGACAAAATTTGGCTTGTGCTTGAAAGCCGTCAAGTCCGTGGGTGCGGCTCACAGCCCCCCGTTGCTGCAGTGCGAGTCCGCCCCGCTGCTGCTGCTGCTCGGCTTGTCCGACTCGCAGGAGGGCGACTCCGCGGCGGAGCTCTTCTCCGAGAACTCCTCGCCGTCCGGCTCCAGGCCGTCGGGACAGGGCAGCTTCAGCAGCTCCTCCCGCAGCTGCGCCGTGTGCCGCTGGGGGGACAAACACACGCGGCCGCGGCCGGTCACGCGGGGCTGCTCCTCCCCAGGTCCCACAGATGTTCAGCGACCCCAGCGTTTGAATGTCAGCTCCCTGCCTCTAGTGGCTATGGATATACTACTACCGGAGTAATACAGTATTGCAAGAAATATTTCCATCTTCTTTACTAATCGGATTTTGCTTATTTGTGCTTTTTTTAGTTTTGTCCCTGTTCTCACTTGTCTCCTCCTTAGTATTGAGCGCCATTCCCCGGAGAAAGTTTCATTTTTTATTCATTTCACAGCACATAAAATCCACCGCCATCATTAGAAGATCAAAATATTACTGCCATTTGTCCTGTTTATTATTCCTCAGTTTGACGGATTACAGAAAAGATCTTTTCAATGCTGATTCAACAGACTGCCCTTGACTGTAACATGTGAATGGGATACCTGCAAGACTCCCGAGACCATCAGGACACGACACGGGCATGAATCTGTCTCGACAGGTGATAAAAGACTGAGACCTGTCCTGTGTGGCCAATTCAGACTTAATTAACCCCCCTAGCACTGGGGGTCAGGGGAAAGAAGATTTATGCTTTTCAATTCACCTTGCAATCTTGCCACATCAACAGCCAGCACGCTTTCAGCATCCAGCTGAATCCGATAGATGATAAAATCACATGCTGAACAATAAAAACGTGAACTAACAAAGATTTTAAAGGGAGTGGATCACAGCCAACTGTTCTACCTCTCTCCTAGTTTCACTTCCACACATCCATGGGCTTCAAAGATGGTGTCACTACCTTGAGCGCCACCCTGAGAGCAGAGTATAATTCTGTAGAAAAGTGTAGGTGTAAACTTTGCCTTTAAGATGACTCGATGGCATCCTTACTGTGTGTCAAGCGACCCTACCTTGAGCGCAGCTGCGTGATGAGACATCGTCCTGCCCACTCGCTTGTCACTGCTGTACTGCTGGATGTCGGCGATCCACTCCTCACACTGGGCCATTACCTCTGCTCTCTTCAGGTAGAAATGCTTGTGTATGACCTGGGAGGAGGAGGCAAGAGAAAGAGGGAATTAGCTGGCTTCCACAAAAGCCTCACAGATCCCATTAACAGCCTTCTCTTCAGAGGGCATGGCTGTTTACGACTGTGCTGTTGTATGCAATCTTCTGGGTACCAGGACTGTTTAGGCTGCTAGTCCCCATTCTGTGTGAAAATTTTCTAACACCTCTGGCGTCAACCTCCAGGCAGCACTACGATCCTGAAAGGTTTATAATTTTTTCGACACCGCATTAAGGAGAGAGAGAGAGAAGAAAAAAGAGAGAAGGGGAAAACATAAATCTGTTTGATGGAAAGCCCTGAAAGCAAAACTTTTATGGCGACTAACAAGAGAGAAAGCTTTAGAGTTAGAAGCTTGATGTTTTCTTCTGGTTGTTCCTTTCCCGCTGGCTGTGTCGTCAGAGCAAGTCTCTTCTCATCTCTGAAAGGCTCCTGCACACCCTCGCCCCCACAGCTGGGCCCTGTGATTTACACCACTTTCGCATCACTGCGATGATGAGTCTGCCAGTCTCCACAGACAGCACCAAGGTCCTGGCTTCTGTAGAGTCGGAGGATTGATTCGCCAACGGCAGGCCCTCGCCGCACCAATTGATCTGCCAGCACAAATCAGCCACTGGCGCAGCTGAACAAAGTCGGGGAACAGTTCCTGCACTCTAGTAATATTCAGTTTGCTGCTCCTTAGCAAACCTTCCTCCAGCAGTAGCTAATCACACTAATCATGCCATCATGTATAACCTCTCCATTTTTGCAAATTAATTTGATCAAATTTTAATTATATCTTATCAAATGCTTTAATGCGGATACGTGGCTTGAGTTGATTTAGGTGTACTGTGTTCAACAATCTCTTCATTTTACACTGATTACAGTAGGTTCTATGTTCTCATTGAAGACCTTATCAGGTGTTGTTATGCCTGTTAAACAGTTCCCCTTCAGCAACTTTAACTTACAGTTTAGTACTCATTCCTTCATTCCTCCTATTGCAGTCAGTTAATATCGCACTCCCTGAAAACATCAGGCCGTGACCTAGCTGGGCCTGAGACCGGATTTGAAGCTGACTCGGATTTGGTGAAAACTTCCGATAACCTCGATTTCCTTTGTGCTTCGGCATGATTCAACACCGTAATAAGAACTGTGATGCAAGAGCCATGGCGTGTGATTTAAAGAAGTGAAAGAAAAATCCTGTTTCTAGTTCCCAAACTAGCTTGATCTAGAACAACCTTCAAACACCTGAAAGACTGTACTGGAGTATAACTTTACAAATTCTGAAAGAGCTTTACAAAATACACTTCAGCCAGTAGCTTAACTTGGCAAGGCAGAATCCTTCTTTAGCTGTTGGGCCAAAGACTTCTCCTTACAGGTGTGCTTATACCGAGCTGACCATACTAGGAATCCACTATGATTTATGTCTTTAATACTTTAATTGCAGAGAAAACTACAATAAAATAATGCACTGCAAGACAGTTCCTTTAGATGTATTTTTTATGGAATAAAAATAACTGGACCAACAAAGCCGTCAACACAATGGGGTCAGGCCGCACTTCTTAACACTAATGTCTGGAGATGTTTCTGGAGAGAGTGTCCACAGTGTGCACCGCGAGGAGAGGACGCCTTGGCAGAGGTTACCTGAGCCTGTCCTTCCCCAGGCTCTCTGGGAACAGAGCAGGCGAGTGGGTTTCAACATGCTGGCTTATCTGTAAACCCCGAGTGTGGACAATATGACTTCAAGAAATGTTGCTAGAAAGAGTCAGTGTAACACTGCATGTCCAACTAAGGATGTTAACGGTGTTCAATTAGGAAATACGAGGCCTGACATAATATTTCATTCTAGCTGCTTCTTAAGCACAGCTTTTACAGCTGTAGGAGTACACTCATTGACCACATGCAGTAATGGTTTCTGACTTCTTAATTCAAATTCCCTAATGCTTCAAGGGGGCAATGTCAGGGAGACAAGAACACTAATCTGAACACGCCTGGCTTCTTAATTGACTTAGTTAAGATTTACTGTCAAAGCTATCCTATGGCTTAAAAGCCTAAATAGAACACACAACAATGGAAATGAAGTGAGGATACAGATGAGCCTTGTTCACCAAAATAAACTGAAGTAAATTGACAAAATGCACCTTTCTTTCTAGATTTCAGTCAGAGCTGAGAAAAGTATGTTTGGCAAACCAAGCAGTTTGGCCCAAAGAAAAAGGATCTGGAATCTTTAAGGCATCTGTATTTATGTCCAGGAAATTTCTTCTTCATAACTAATAATTCAATCCATGCTGACCTTTAAAAAATTATATAAATAGTTCAGTACTAGGAAAACATACATCCCGCACAAAAAAATATTTGTAGTGTTATGGTAATGAAGAGTGCCAATGTAGAAATAGAAAGCGTCCGCAGAAACGGCACTAAATTGCAAGAATCTTTCAACACACTAAATAAATAACGGAAACTAACACAACAGTTTCAGTTCTAATTTGGCTATTGTAAGATCTTTCTTTCATTATTTAATTTTTCTGCCAGCAGGTATAAAATGTGAGACCCACTGTGCACTAATGTGCAAATGAAAGCAGATCTCCAGATGCCGTCCATATGAATAGCTGCCGTTCCTGAGGCTGGTCCTTTGCTCAGTGTATCCAGGGCTAAATCCTGGACTTCGGAAACTGTGCCCTTCCTGACGCTGCTCCACTGTTATGGAATGCCCCTACCCAGTTCTCTACGATTCCAATTCCTTAAACCTTTTCAAAACTGAACTCGAACTCAGCTTTTTACCACGGCCTGTATCGGTATATAGCCCTATATTCTATCTATATAAACATGTATGGGCTTGTTTAGTTTTTCTTTTGCTTTTTATTGTCGTTTTTATTGGAAAGGTCTCAATAATAATAATAATAATAATAATAATAATAATAATAATAAAATAATAATAAGGACATCCATGACAGAGACTGCACTGTGTCAAAGCTTAGATGATGAGAATGTGCAATTCTAAAACTTATAAGAGCGCATTTCAATTAAGACCTCAGTACTTAAAGCATTCAACCACAATTTCAATTACATTTTCATCAGTAGCAGGCAAATGGAGAGGGTTTAGGATGAGAGTTATCTGCTCTCTGTTGAGTGATTACACCTCTCAGAGACTAACTACACTGGAATTTATCTTGCTCCAGCATATTCCCCATCAGCGCAGCGAGTCAAGCTACGCGTCGCCTTCCTTGTGAAAACCATTAGAAATATTGCTCTTTTTGAGGCTGGGAAAGGAACAGATCACAATCTGTCTACATTATCCCGTGTCAAGGACAAGAGGAAATCATACAGAGACGCAGAAAGAGACAGCAAAAGACGACTAGATCTGAAGGATACAGTCAGGCTACAAAATTAAGTGTACAGCAGACAGACTTGTTGAATATTAATATCTAAGGGCTTCATGATTGACTAGCCTGTCATTCACTATTTTGTTCAATACACGCAGGAGACACTTGTTTCCTTTTATTACAAACCATTACAATTCTAGCAAGTAAAGCTGGCACTTAAACATTGTTTAAACATATAAATTATACGTTTTTAATAATTTAGAATTCTGTGATAAGTAAATCATAATTCTCAAAACACGATTTTGAATATATGTATATTAACATTAGCAAATGTACTAATTGGTAAAAGTAACTAATATCTAATATCATAGATGGCATAAAACATTCATTTGAACTTCTGTACCTGCTTTGTAACTTTCATTCATTTGTCCTTTTTAGTTATTGCCCAGGGGCTTGAGATCTGAAAGGCAGTACATAAAGTGAAGTGTTCTACTATTATATTGGACCTGACGTGCCGAAATGGGTTTGTTGCCAGATATTTCAGCCCTTCTTCAGCCCAGCTGAGCCCTGCCCCCATGCACGGACCCCCATGCCCAGGAAGGCAAGCCGAGACACTGGGTACCTCTTTAAAGCACGGGGAGGGGCTGCGAAGCTGCTCCAGCATGGCCCACTTCACCGTCGCCTGCCGGATGTTGCCATCGTACTCCCTGGAGCTCTGCGTGCCACTCGGTGTGCCCCGTGAGCGCTCGTACCCGGGCTCGTTGAAATACGGCTCTGCCACAAGGATGAGAGACTGCACCGACACCAGAACCTGCGGGCAGGGAGCACAAGTCACAGCGCGTCAGCGGCCCGATCGCTGTTTCACCGGGGAAAGGAAAATGAGACGAAGGTGTACGGCCCGTCTTCATCAAACTGGGGTTTTCTTTCAACAAGACCTGCAAATCAAAAATGTCTGTGAAAAAACGACGACATCAAAGCCAACAAGAATATCAGAGAATTGATATTGGCACTGCAAATTAGACTGGTTAGTGACTTGCC